ATGTATTTGAATACTTCTGATAAAGGGCTAACCTAACCACAGCAGGCCATAACCACAAAAGGCCAACTTGTCTTTCAGAATCTGAAAAGCTTAAACCAATAGGAAATTGCATCAAAGGAATGGGACAGAGTGCTCTCTAACCGGTTCAATGGACAGTGGACATGCATACCAAAACTAAATAACAATTTACCTCAGGAAGCAAGTCAAAAATCTACCCAATATCATATGTAGCCCACATATTAAATAAAAAACAACCATCATATAACAGACCCAGGACCCCTGATCCAAGAGATCAAATTGTTAGAAAAGAAAAACAAGAAAAGGTCACCCAATCATGGTCTTAGTTCTTTGTCTTTAACAAATTATAGTCTGTAAGTTAATTTACTCATAATGAATTAGCACCTGTGAAAATTGTATAAAAAACACTTACAGATTGTACTTCTTTGTATTTTGGTCTGTTTATAGCCTGAGTGCCTGCAGCCAGTCTCCAAATTTGTTTTTTTTATTATGTCACAATAAAAATCTCTTTGTTGTGGAAGGCTTTGGTGAAAGTTGTTCCACTACAACACTTCCCTAAGGTAATGAACTCCTGGGCATTGGTATCTTATTTTCTACAACTGCCAAAAAAAAAGGTATCTCTTTGAGGTAAACAATTGCTGTGCAAAACAAGGCGGGGGGTGGGGGTGAGCAAGCAACTACTGCCACAAAAGGTAAGGAGTACCAGATCTATAGACTCCTCTGCTGCCCCTTCAGAGTGCTTAAAAATCATGAACTGCTTGTACTAAAACACAAACCAAACGTCAGCAATGAGATGCTAAAGCTTAATAAACACATTCCTGTAAGCACAAACTCACCAAGTTCAAAACAACCAAAAAGATCCATCAGCATCTGCTTAGCCTCTGACATCTGTTTCTTTGAGTAGCACTGACATTCCATAATAGCCTACCCCTGCAATGTTTCTCCCATCTCTCCCCGCTCCTTGCCATTTCAATTTGTTTCAGGCCACCACTATAGTTACCTGTCTTAGTTATCTAGTGCTGCTATTACACCAATAGCACAAGTGGGTGGCTTTAATAAACAGAAAGTATTTTCTCAGTTTAGGAGGCTAGAATTTCGAATTCAGGGCACCAGCTCTAGGGGAAGGCTTTCTTTTTGGCTCTGGGGGAAGGTCCTTGTGTCTTTTCAGCTTTTGTTTCTTGGTTCCTCGCAGATTTCATGTGGTGTGGCATCTATCTTCCCCATCTGTGCTTTTCTGATGCTTGCTTAATCTACTCTTTTAAATCTCAAAAGAGATTGACTTTACACACACCCTACATTAATTTGGAGCCCTGGCGGCACAATAGTTAAGTAATATGGCTTCTAACCAAAGACAGTTCAAATCCACCAGCTGCTCCTTGGAAACCCTACGTGGCAGTTCTACTCTGTCCTCTAGGGTCACTATGGGTAGAAATCAACTTGATGGCATCGGGTTTTTTTGTCTACACTAATACTACCTCATTAACGTAACAAAGAAAACCCTATTCCCAAATGGGATTATAACCACAGGTACAGTAGGATTTACAACACATATTTTTGGGGGGCACAATTCAATTCATAACACTACCTAAACATCTCCCCACTCCAAGTACATGCTACACACAACTGTTGGTTAGTTCTTCTAAAGCAATCCTGCTGATATTACTTCCTGCTCAAAAACTTTCCATTACTTCCCAACATCTAGTGAATAAAGAAAAACCTCTTACCTCGGTATACACCAACACCTGCCTTTCTAGTCCCATCATTTACCACACAGTTTAAAAAGTTCCAAGGTTCAGTCAAACACAATTCCTGATACCATCTCCCCGACTTCGCTCCGCACCACAACTATCCATAAGCTCACAAGCAAGTGCAGGTATGAAAACTCACAGATTAGAATGTTTGAAGGCAAGGAGTGAGAGATGAAGTTTAAAAAGTCAGGTGATGTATTATTACTCCATTAAGAGACTTAATTTTAAAATACTTACACTTCATCCAGTAGGGAATAGGGGAACATCATGATCAAATCTGCATTTTAGAAATTTAACTGGCAAGAAGAGCATAGTAAATAGAGTGGCAAGGGAGATAGGAAAGACTATTAAAACAGTTGAGGAGACTATGAGAAGTCATTCTAAGCTAGTAGTAGTGGAAATAAGGACAAGGAGCAGATCTGATAGATTTCTGTAATAGAATCAACAAGATTTAATAATGGAAATGGTATTCAAATGTCTACTCTTCTCCATTTCAATTTGTTCTTCATACCACAGACTAAACTGTCTTTTCAGAATCTGGTCATGTTCTCTCCTCTGCTTAAAACCCTACAGTGTCCTGTTGATCTTAGGATAAAGACCAAATTTTGTCACAATTCTTCTTACAAAGCCCTACTTACAATTCTCTGCCCATTCTTCCAGCCTCAGCTTCCATTATTCTCCCCCATTCCCGAGCAGTCTGCTTTGACAACACTGGCCTTCTTTCAGCTCCATGAACATGCTACTTGTTCCTTCCTACCATAGGATCCTCTGCAGAGAGTGCTCCTTTCTTGATACTCTCCCTTCACTTAAGTTAACTCATCTTGATATTTTGGCTTAAGTAATATTTGTGCCTTCCCTGGTCACCCTCCTTCCGACCAGTACAGGCCCCCTGTTGTATATATGTATACCACTGTATTCCTTTTCCTACATGGTCTCTTATCACAGTTTATGACTACATTTTTTTGTGAGGTGCCTGGAGAAATGTTCATCTCACCCACTGGACTGTAAGCTCCATGAAAACCTGGACCAGCTCTATTCTGTTCATCAGTGTATTTCCAGCTCTCAGCACAGGCCCTGGAATATTGGTAGGTGTTAGGAAATTGTGTCCCCCAAAAATGTGTGTCAACTTGGGTAGGCTATGAGTCCCAGTATTGTGTGGTTGTCCACCATTTTGTGATCTGATGTGATTCTCCTACCTGTTGTAAATCTTATCTCTATGATGTTAATGTGAGGCAGGATTAGAGGTAGTTATGTTAATGAAGCAGGACTCAATCTACAGGATTAGGTTGTATCTTGAGTCAATCTCTTTTGAGATATAAAAGAGAGAAGCAAGCAGAGAGGAGAGGGATCTCATTACCACCAAGCAAGAAAAGCCAAGAACAAGCGTATCCTTTGGACCCAGGGTCCCTGCGCTGAGAAGCTCCTAGACCATGGGAAGATTAATGACAAGGACCTTCCTCTGGAGCCGACAGAGGGAGACAACCTTTCCCTGGAGCTGGCACCCTGAATTCGGACTTCTAGCCTTCTAGATTGTGAGAGAATAAATTTGTTTGTTAAAGCCATCCACTGTGGTATTTCTGTTATAGCAGCATTAGATAACTAAGACGAGAGGTAATGAAAAAAAATTCAAAAACCTGTGGAATTAATGAAATGTCCAACTTGCTAAGGACTCTGAAGTTCATAGCTTTGATAACAAGGTGGATGGTCACACTTTTAACTGAGATGGAAAACCAAAATCAACACGGTAAATTATCTGTGGAACATTCAGTAAAAATGTCTAATAGGCAGCTGGAAACTGCACTATGCAGCACAGAAGACAACTGGTAGACATTATGATTTAGGAAACATCAGTGTCTTGGTGATAGTTGAGATTACACTCTTGAAATCACAAATGTCAGTGATTCTCCAGGAAGGGAGGGAAGGAGCGAGGAGTATTCATCAGAATCTTTTGGGAAGAGGGGGACTTTTTTACACACACTCTCACCTTCCACCAACAGAAGGTCTCAGTATGTAGTAATGACAGTTGCTACTGATAGTGTTACACCTGTGAAAAGTATAGACACAGGATTTAAAAAGTTGTCAACCATGACAATAAAATACAAGTATGCCAAGATCACTCATAATCTTTTGATTTCAATAGATTCAGATGTGAAGATGAAGCAGATGAGGGAAGATCACCCTGCCATTTGTGATAAGACAATGTCTTAAAAGGCAGTCTAAAGAGAAGTTTTCTTTTTCAAAATTGAGGGAAAGAAACAAGCATTTATAGAGAAAAAGCATAAAAAAGAGAAGGTAAGCCTGTATTTTTAGGCCGTGGGAAAGGCTAACCAATACAGCAAAATTCAGAAAGATGTATGGGAAAAATAATACCAAAAAGCTACCATATAGCGTATACTATGTGCCAGGCACTGACCTAAATCTCTAAATACATCATTAACTTTAAATCTTCCCAAAAGTCCTATGAGGTACATACTATTCCCCATTTTACAGATGAGGAAAATAGACACAAGCGATTAAGAAATCTGACCAAGGTCAAACAGCTGGTAAGTAGCAGAGGTGAGATGAGATTCCAACATCTATCTCCAAAAGCAAATATCCAAAATTAAGAATATTCATTAGAGTGAAGTGTTTTTGTTTTTGAAAGGGGACCACCTCTTGTAAAACGGCAGAATACAGTCGGAGAAGACAATTTGGGGAAGAAAGATGAGAAAATTCTTGCACTTAAAGCCACTCTCTTCCTCCAACCAAAGAGGAGCTGAGTAAGATGGGGGAGGGGCCTTGAGAGGCAAAAGGTCTGGAGTTGGAGCTGTGGAGAATGGGTACGGCCAGGGAAAAAGCAGTCAAAACCAACTTGACCCCTGAAGCACAAATCCTTAGAGCCTGTGAATTCCACATTCCCATCTGAGTTAGAGGCCTAGCCGAGCAAGGTTCTAGGAGCTGAAGAGATGCAAATAAATAACCTCTCTGTGGACAACAGTCTCGAAAGCAACCAACATCTACGACCACCAGATGCTCAGAAAAACCTATTCCTCTAGGGAATCCCTTTCGAAAGCTTTTAAGATTACGCCCCAATGCAATACTGGTTTTTCGAGTGGAGGAGGGGAGTAGCGGGTTGGAAAGGCAATTCCTGAGTGAGCTGGATCCCAACCCATGCCCGGACCATCTCGGGCGACCACAGAGGGACGCGCAGCGCTAGCCCAGAAGCTGCACCCGTGGGCGGCGGGAATGCGCTACCTGAGTCTCTCGGTTGTCAGGCGCGGCCCTTCCCCCACCAGTTCTGCCGCTCCAGGTGGTCGCCTTCCGACTCTGGCTCCCCGGAGGCCGCCGGGCACCCAGCAGGCACTACCACACCATGCAGCCTTTTAACCAGCAGCCCCGGTCGGAAGAGACCCCCACAGCAACTTACCCGTCCTGTCTGGCCCACGACAGCCCGGGCTCCTTTCTGGACACGGAGGGCTCCCTGGCATTTCCACCAATGCCAGAGCGCAGTCAAGGCGCGGAGGCGGGACTAAGAGTCCAAGGCCAATCAGATCAGACGCAAGGCGCGTCCCGGCGCACATAACTAGTTCCCGCCTTTGGGAGGGAAAAAAAAACCCACGGTTGGCGCCAAACTTCCGTACTCTTCTGAGAGTCCGAGGGGGAAAGAGGCGGGACCTAAACTGGCGGGGACGAGAGACGGGACGGGGCTTCACTGCGGAAGGGGCGGGACCTGAGCGTGGTAGGGGTGGAGTCGGGGAGAAGCTCTCTAATAAAAGGGAAAGTAAACCGTGAGAACCAAAACCCTTTGCGGTTGAGTCCATTACGGCTGATAGTCGCTCATTCTCCAAATTCTGTTGAGAGTCAACTAACTGTATACTAGACATGATGTTGGGCGCTGCATCGATAACTACAAATAAGCATTGTTCCTCGCCCTCTGCCGCCTTTCTGGATGATAGGCAAACAGTTTAGCCCTGGATATTGGGAACTCTGAGAATGAGATACCAGTCTAGTGAGGTGGAAGGGAGTAGAAAACTGGAGAAGGACATCATGTCCCTGGAGAAGGACATCATGCTTGGTAGAGGGTCAGGGAAAAGAGGAAGAGACACTCAACGAGATGGATTGACAGTGGCTGCAACAATGGGCTCAAATATAGCAACGATTTTGGGAATGGTGCAGGACTGCGCAGTGTTACCTTCTGTTGTTCTGTTGTACATAGGGTCCCTACCAGTCCACCCGACTGGAGGGCACCTAACAGCAACAGCGAGTCCGAATCTACCCCAGGGCAGCCAACAACAACATGATGGACAAATGGGAGGCAGCGGCTGGGAATCAAGGTGGGGAGGCTTTAGATGAAGTAACCAAGGAGTGGCTTTATTTTACTTCCCAACAACCAAGGGCGCGGGCCCTGCTTCTTGGTTCCCACAAGTTCTATGAGACGAATTCAGGTATTATATCCTCAGAAATTTTCTCCTTCCTTCCACCCCGCTAGACTGGTATCCCGGTTTCCTAAAAATATTGACATATGAGTGAAGCTGTCTCAGACCTTCCAGACCAGTCCATACACTAGCTGAGCACTACTGAATGATCTCAGTAAACACCTCAGGGAGCAGAATTGCCCATTTGAGCCCTGTCAAATTCCTGATCCTCCAAATGGTGAAATATTTAAAATGGCTGTTGTTTTAAGGCATTTAATTTTAAGTTAATTTGTTACACAGCCTAATTGGAACAGTAATGATATAACATGTAGAGTTTTATTAAAATTGTTACATGAAATATGAAAATAAAGAGCCAGAGGAGGCCATCAAGTTGGCCCTCGCTCACTGCCTAGTCCTGTGCAAACTCCATGATTGGTCACTATTGTGGTCTGTAGGGTTCTCATTGGCTGATTTTCAGAAATAGATCACCAGGCCTATCTTAGTCCATCTTAGTCTGGAAGCTCCACTGAATCCTGTTCAGCATCATAGCAACACACAAGCCTCCAAAGACAGATGAGTGGTGGCTGCACATGAGGTGCATTGGCTGGGAATGAACCCTGGTCTTCCACATGGAAGGCAAGAATTCCACCACTGAACCACCAATGCCTCTCATTTACAAACTGTCGTTACATTATTTTCAATACTTTTAACTCCATTTGTATATGTAATACATTTGATCTGTTTTTTAAACACTTCAAATACTGACAGGACAAACAAAAACCCTGATAAGTAAAGCTTTCCTGAGTACCTCAACATCTCCTATGATTCTAATAAATTAAATGAATAAATGCAGTGAATCTCAAGTCCTTTTAGACATTCTAAGACTTTTAGCAACTATAATCAATGTTTCTTACTTTTCAACTTAAAATGAAGTCTAAATACAAACAAAAACCAATGACCTTATCTGCATTTCAAAATAATAATATAACCACTCATAAGAGGTGGTGGGGGAGCTATTGCAAGTAACTTTGAAACACAGTAGTTTTACTATACATAGCCTTAATCTAAAAACAAAATAAAACACAACAAAAAACTGCAAAGAAATCTTAATCGCCACTTAGTAAGTTTGTTGTTTGTAGTAGTAATTCTGAAAGTATATTGTGTGTATTATGAGACTGAGAATATATGATGGCTTCCGTCTCTCCACATCTTTACGAGCACTTGTTATTTCTCTTTTTTTTACTATAGCAATTCTAATGGATGTGAAATGGTATCTGTTACGTATGCTTTCTGTATACTCTCAAATCACATCTGATTCTATAATGGTCTTAAGACACATGTGTAAGTCGCTATTATGTATGCTTCTATAATGCCTTTTACACTGTTATTTTTTTCTCTTTTTTAAAATTTATTGTTGTACTTCAGATGAAAGTTTACAGAACAAATTAGCTTCTCATTAAACAGTTAGTACACATACTGTTTTGTGACATTAGTTACCAACCACACATGTTATAATGCTTTATATGCTTTTAGACACCTATGTATTCATCTCTTATAACGCAAAGTTAGAAATAGAGAATTTCTGAATTTAGAAATAGAAGCATATATTTCTACAATGCTGTCTAACTATTAACTGTAAGTCATTAGAAAGTTGTTTTAACCTTGGAAATAGATAAAATATATCATAAATAACTTTCTGAAATTAGGCTGTACAACTGCACTCTGTGATAATGGAATGTAACATTAACCAAACCTCTATAAATTAACAAAACATAAAAATATCACTAAACAATTCCCATAATTTTTAATTAATTAACTCAGCCTTGAAACATGTAGTAAACAAGAATGTAAATATTTCATGCCCTAATTGGCAATCATTTAAATCTCTATTAATTAGCAAAATATTAATATATCTGTGGTGCAGTGAATTACTTAATACCTTTCTAGCCAGTCTTGTGACTCGCACACAATGATTGGGTGGGACTACGTAAATAAACTGCTTGTGGCCCGCAAAGGGGATTGGATAGCTTGCTGCTGATACAAATAAGGTATATGGAAACTGTGATGGTTAAGGTTCTGTGTCACCTTGGCTGGACCATGATTTTCAGTGGCTTGGCAGTTATGTGATGACATAATTTGGCAGTTATATAATGATGTAGTCAGCCTCTATTTTGTGGTCTGATGTAATTGTCCTCTGTTTTGTGATCTGATGTAATTATCCATTTTGTAATGTGTTGTAAATTCTAGCCTCTATGCCTGTGAGTATGGTCCCATTTGGGAGTGAATTGTCTGTTATGTTAATGAGGCAGGACTATAATGGGATGTATCTTGAGTCACCACCTTACTAGAAGGTGTGACTCAAGTCACCATCCTTACCCCAGTCACCACGTTTACCACCCTTATTCAAGTCACACCCTTCTACTGCCTTGCTCAAGTAAGGGAAGTTTCCTTGTGGGTATGGTCTGTATCAAATATATATATATGAAGCACTGATGGCACAGTGGTTAAGAGCTGTGGCTGCTACTCAAAAGGTCAGCAGTTCAAATCTACCAGTCAGTCCTTGGAAACCCCCTGGGGCAGTTCTACTCTGTCCTATATGGTCACTATGAGTTGGAATCAGCTCAATGGCAACATATGTATAAATGCTCTGGCAAAGCTCTCTCTCTTGCTCTGCATCCTGCATCTGTCTCATCATCATCTGACCTGAAGTTCTTGGAACTTGAGCCAGTAGCCTATTGTCTGACTTGATTCACGAGCTTCCACAGCCTTGTGGGCCAACAGCCTATCATCGGACCTGCCGATTTGGGTTCATCAGCCCCTGCAGCCACATGGGTTGGGAGAAGCCTCCAGTCTGGGGCTTGACCCATGGATTTGGAACTTACCAGCTTCCACAACTGCATGAGCCATTTCCTTGATGGTTTGTGAGTTTTGTGAAACACTGCAGTGAATTACAGAACCCAAAGACGGGAGGGAGCATACTGAAGGGAGGAGTAGCTGATGTTACAGATGATGGAGTGGTACAGCAGTTTGGAAAAGTTGGACATTTCAGACATCTTTAGCATCCACCTCATAGGAACCAGCTTTGTGCTGACCCTTCTAAAAGAAATTATTCATTCAGTGTCATGTAGCAATGCCCTTAATTAGCAACAAAACATACCGATTATAATTGAACTGATAGCACATATGATGTATAAACCCATGGATTTCTGCTATGCAGTATTTGCCCTTTTGTGATTGAATTACTTCACTCAGCATAATGCCCTCCAGATTCATCCATGTTGTGAGATGTTTCACAGATTCATCATTGTCGATTATCATTGGGTAGTATTCCATTGTGTGTATATACCATAGTTTATCCATTCATCTGTTGATGGCACTTAGGTTGTTTCCATCTTTTTGCTATTTTGAATAATGCTGCAGTGAACATGAGTGTGCATATATCTCTTCTATTTGCATGATGGCTCTTAATCTTCTAGGATATATTAAGGATTTCATTTTACTTGGATCCACAATCAACTCCCATGGAAGCAGCAGTCAAGAAATCAAACGACACATTGCCTTGGGCAAAGCTGCTGCAAAAGACCTCTTTAAAGTGTTAAAAAGCAAAGATGTGACTTTGAGGAATAAGGTACACCTGACCCAAGCCATGGCATTTTCAATTGCCTCAGCTGGACAGTGAATAAGGAAGACTGAAGAATTGATGCCTTTGAATTACGGCATTGGCAAAGAGTATTGAATATACCATGGACTGCCAGATGAATGAACAAATCTGTCTTGGAAGAAGTACAGCCAGAATACCCTTTATAAGCAAACATGGCGAGACTTCATCTCATTGACTGTGGACGTGTTATCAGGTGGGACCAGTCTCTGGGGAAGGACATCATGCTTGGTAGAGAGTCAGTTAGAGAGAGGAAGACCCTTAACAAGGTGGAATGACATAGTGGCTGCAACAATGGGCTCAAGCATAGCAAAGACTAA